TCAAACTTGGTCAGTCTTCTTTCCGCGACGGGAAAATTAATTGGGCTCGATGACGCGTGCCGCAGGAACTTTCGGGCGAAGGATATCTAGATCGAAAGTTCCTTCGTTGGTATAATACAACAGTGTATCCTGTCCTGTCACGGTTAAATAAACTGTATTAAGCTTTCTGTACACACGATGTGATAGTCGCATGGAAATAGTCACTGAACTTTTCCTGACTTTATCTTCGCGATAACAGCATAACACATTTCCTCGAATCACGTTTCAAAATTGTTTTTCGTTTATGACTTCGATCCGCACGCGTATTCGTTCGGTTAGATCGATATCACGTTACCGAGAGCGATCGATTGGTAAAAGTTCATTTCTTGCTGGCTGCGTCGCGTCGACGTACCCCGTCCGTCTGTGTCTCGGGTCCTCAATTCCGCCCCGATGTCATAGAGTTCGTTGATCATATCCCCCTTCGAGTCGAGTCACGTCCTTGCCCGCATCGAGATGCTAGACCACCGAATACCCCTATCCTCTTATACACGAGCGATTAATCCAGTCCTCTGCCTCATATTTCCCACAGAAACCGTAATAATCGCTTCGGAGCGGAAATCATGACACTTTGCCGCGGACACAAGATCCTTTAAAGGGTTTTCGTGAAACATTTCAATTCGATCGAGTTTCGGAGCCACTCGTTTTCCGTAATCGTGGATACGTTCGTTTAATCCGTCGACGATACTGTGTTTCGCGGGTGGTCGACGCGACGCTATAAAACCTCGTGTCCGACGGTTAAGGATCGCCGACTTCTGTCTCGCGTGTTCGATCCGCGACGGCTTTGGGCCGACTGGCTCGCGAAAATGCGACTCTTGCCGCGCGCCACATAGAGCCCCGCGCTTGCGCCACCACGATCTACGCGGCGATAAGCTTCCGATGTGTTTTCGATATCTCGCCGGAGCACGAGATCTTGATTAATTCCCCTCCGTCGGGGTACATTAGTTAACGAATCGCCTCGTGTCAGGGGCAAATCGTTTAACGAACTCGAGGCACCACGGTTTGCCCCGTTTTACGGTCTAGAGGCACGAAACCGTTTGATAATTTCGACCATCCATCTACGGAGGATCGATGGTCCTCTATTGTCGTCGGAACCAACCCGCGCAAGATCGAGGAGTAAGTGGACACTTAAAGTGCGACCGATCGAAAACTTCTTGCTCCGGTTAATCTACAAGTATAGATTCTTTTCTCCAATAATTCCTCGAGAACACGCGTTTTCGCGCACAATTTTTTGTGGATGACCCAATGCATTTTATTAGTAAATTACATAAGTATCGGCGTATTTTAACCTCAGATTACATTGTTGCTAAGGAAAAAGTTGTTCCAATTCACCCCCCGAGTGCCCCATTTCCGGGTCGGAGGACATTTTTGGGACATCCTTTATATACACCTACTATTATATATATTTCACCCTCGATTGCACGAACTAACGAGAGCCACACGCGAAACTGTACGCTAACATCCGCGACGAAACTCCGCGTTTTGTTTCCACGACGCCCTGGCACATTTGTCAAAAGTGATTTCAGAGAATGCAAACGTGGTCCCGCTGTCGGTGAAATGAAGACGAAAAACTCCGCGTCACGGTTGCGTTATTCTTCTACGCTCGAGGCTGTTCCCGGCCGGGTCGTATATTTCACGTACGCGCGACCAAGATGCCGTCTGGAATATGCACGGTGATAAGAATATATCTTCTTTAAAGTGCAATATTTTGAAATACATGTACCGTGTCTGCGGTCGTTCCACTGCTCCACTGTTCCGCGTATATTTTCCTCTGCAGAAGCGAGGAAAGTGAAGAGCGCGCAAGGTGGAACCGTATCGAGCGTATTTTATCAAATACATACACGCTACCTTTCTTATTTGGCAAGGATACGAACGTATACCGTCGCGAGCATCCTCTGCTTTCGATAGGGGAAAAATCAGTGCAGGAAAAGGGCGTTCTATCACTTGGGGATTATTGAAATTTCTGTCGAATAAACATTCGATTCAACATTTATTTCGGTACTTGAAATAAATTCACCGAGTACAATTAACGGGCCATCGATCGGTTTAATGACGCGTTTCAGTGTCGCAGGATCACGTTATCTCATTTCCGTTTTCCGTTTACGGTGCGAAGTTAATCCGATAACGTTCCCATGACAATACGAAAGCGACAAAGCGGATCCGCCGTATATGCACACGAGTACCGCCGCAGCGCAACCGCGAAATCACTTGAAATGGACCGAGAACACGATGCCCGTGGACGTCGAGCCTGACGCGGATATGCGTCAGATATTCGTCGGTGACGAATGAGCCGGGAGTAATACACGATTCAGTGATTATCGATCGAACGGTCCAGCGGGTTTACTTAAACGCGCCGGTGAGCGCGTAAAAATTCGAATTTGGTATTTCCGATAATTGCGGAGAATCAATCGCGAGCGAATGAACCGCACCGATATCGAAATATTGCGCCAATCACACGTTTCGTTCGAAATAACGAGCCTATACTCGATACGTTATCGTTGGTCGGTTGATCGCGCGAGGGAATACAATAAATGGAACGTTAAATATCATCGAACAGGTATATATAATTCCTGTTGCGTTGTTCGAAGTGGCTAGTCCTTGTCCATTAGACACCGAAAGTCCACAGGAAATTCGTAATAGCCTGCACTCGCGAAAATTGTATCGGTTGTTAAATTTAGACGCTCGATAGAATACAGATCGATCAAAATCTGGCGGAGGAGACGGTCGGAGGCGAGGTGAATCTCGAGGATTCAATTTGACCGGGGCACTTTAGACGCTGCACAGAGATACGAGCAAATAGGATTGCCGATCTAGGTAGGAATGCTCGTAGTTGTATTAGCATTAGGCTCTGGTTACCTGCTGCACGGCCAAGAATCACCTGTTAACTGTCTCTCTCTCTCTCTCTCTCTCTCTCTCTCTCTCCATTTGCTCGAATAGAAATTCGAAACACGATCGATTTGTATTCGGTTCGATTTATCGGATATACATACAAGATATTCATTCCTCCGATCACTTTGTTAACGATGTGTTATGTTTAATCTAGTCGAGCGTTTGCGAACGAACAAAGGGAAACTTTCGCGAAAATGTCATTCAATTTTCTTCGTAATTGTCGAGTGGCGCACGAGGCAAATTGCACGAGGGCTGGACAGGTTCGTCGCGATGGCCACGATAGTTGGGCGGACGCGAAACATTTTACGATACGATACGGCTTTAATCGACAGGACGTTAATTGCATTACTAATCGGGTGCTTCCGTGCGCGGGGCGCCACGCGAGGATCGAAACCGTGTGCGGAAATAGTGCGTTAGGCACTCCGTTATATGGCAATTTTAAACGTCGAATCTACAATACACCATTATAAGTATTACCAAAAAAAAAATAATCTGTTATCAAATAGCGCAGTATTTTAATGAACAGGAGGTAATGATAACGAATACAAGAAAAGCAAAGACTCTTTTTGTAGATTTCCGTTAGAGTTTTATCCGACGACGAATCGTCTAAATGTAGTTCTCACAACACAGTGCGTACCTGCTGTGTATCTACATCTGACGAAAAATTCTGTATTTCATGAAATTTGGTGCGTCTGTGTGACGCTCTGTACGAGCACAGTTTTTTTTTTGCTGTAAAACAATGTGTCGCTTGATAAAAAGTATAGCTCGCCACCTGCTCGGCAAAAAGTTTTCGCTAAGCATTTAATTACGTAAGGACACCGTGGGGTCTTGCAAGTAAATAATATCATTAATTTCACTGTATTTTCGCCACCTCTATTTTCTCCTGAGAAAAAAGTTGAAATTGTACGAAGACTAGTTCTAGGTACCTATAAGTATAGTCCTCCCGTGGTACTCGACAGTCGATAGACCATCAATCTTGTTCATTCAATATCCTTTCGTGAAGTTAATAAACGCAAGTAGCACGGTCGAAGCGTATCGGTGTTTATAAAATAAACGCAGACGTTTACTTTCTAAACAAATATTTTTCCTGGAGTTTGAGAAGACTGCTGCTATCGTTCCCAGTAGTTCGAAGTTTCGCTTTAAAGTATAACTGCTTCGACGCGTTTATCCGCGTTTCCAATTTCGCTTTCTTGCCTTAAAACGACCGAGTAAGTACCGCGACACTCGGCAAACATTTTCGATATTTCTTTCCTCGCTCGATGCGCGATTTGTCGAAGTACCCTCGAAGTTTTCTCGTTGCTGCCCGTTGTGTACACACTCTCGTCGCGCATCTGTTCAGGCACAATTGCGAACGTTACAGGAATAGTATAACGCGCGAGGTCTATTGTTTCGGCGATGTTTTGCGAGAAAGCTTTCGTAGCGTAATGAAGATCGACAACAAAGAAACACTTTGACTAATCGATTCGCGGAAGAAACACTCGGCTTTTTGATATTTGTGCAAGAAAAACCGCATTTATGCTTCTCAGTTTTCAGCTAACATTCTACATATTTACATTATATGTGTGACGATCAAAAGGATCGGTGGAGGCGACAACATTCGTTAATGGGAAAAGCTAATGAGTACGCGGCCAGTTTTACAGCTGCTCTGTGAGATAGCGTTCGACGAACTGAAAAGGAAGAATAAATCTCAAACGAATTTAATCAAAATTTAAATAACACTCTATTCGCAAATATTTGACTCAAATATAACTTAAAAGTACAAAAGGAATACAAAAGATGTCCGGCAGTGAATTCCCATTTTTCTTCGCGGGAGCGTTGGCAAGTCTCAAGGCTACCATTTGCAAAGAAATATCGACGGAATATGGATCTCCGTGGTCTTGGACTCGTGCTCCGCTCGATACTGATTCCAGGCACACCGATCGGACAATATTTGCCGACGAAATAGCGTCAATCCAATGCCATTGAATTCGTCAGCCGAACGCCCGGTGTCGCCGTGAAAACTAGATCCGCGCGAGGCGGTTTTTATCTGCTGCAGAAAACGCCCGCCAGTGCGAACTGGCGCTTTCTCTCTTCGTCAAAAGGACTGCGATTATTCCCTGAAACACCGATGGAGATCGATACCGTTCTCTCGATAATATGTACGTTGTACGAGCGCAATCGAAATGTCCATTACTCACCGTCGATCGCGCGATAGGCTACGTTCGATCTTTTTCTTCTACCTTACCCGCTTCTTCGAGATAAAAGCGATCTTCAGCAGGTTGACTACGGGCGCCTCGAGTGTGATGGAAATACAGAACGACATCAAGTACGAGGCGACGAGATTGCCGAAGTACAGGACGAGCTTGAAAAGCAAACAAAACGAAGCCTTCAGGCTTTTCCATTCACCGTACGATGGAATGGGATGGAATGGGATGGAGGTTTCGATCTTACGCAAACATTCTTTGTAATCGACGATCGATGGGGATACGCCGGGGATAAAAGGCGCTTCTTTAATTTTGGAACGTGGCAGATCGAGGCCAAGGGACTCCAAGGTCCACTAAGGCGTCTCGTCATAGACCCTTCATAGACATTTGACGACTTTTACGCTGTCAAATATAATTACAACATAAGGTGATAAGGTCCTCTTCGTTCAAGTGGATAGAAACTCAAGCGTACCGTAATCGTCATGTTGTACGCTACGTTGACGTGTCTATGACTAGATGCCTTAGTGGATAGTAGGCCTAACCAGCGACCTTGCGATCGTTTCGTTAAATGGAACTCGCGACGAGAGGATCAGAGTACTATAGACCTAGAGACTCACCACGATACCGTTGTGAAGATGCAACGGGCCATCCATCTGAGCAACAGTGATCATCATGATGACAGGATGCACCAAGTAGGCACAGTAAGTTAACCTCGATAACGGATACATCAGTCGCAGCGACAACAAGCTGTCGATCATTCTGGCGGATCCGGTGCAGCATTGTATCACGATGAAGGACACGGCCATAGCCCAGCTGGTGTGTCCTAAGGCGGCATATACGGAGCTCACCGCCACGGATAAATTTCCGGTATATAGGCCATAAACCAGCGAGATCATCACGCCGCTCGATAAGAACCAGCCGATGATTTGCACCACCTGAAATACACGCGTTTGAGTCGCTCGATAGTTATCTTGGATTTTCCCGCCTTTAAGGACAGTGTCGACGTCTGTCAAAAATTATTGCAGTCAAACCATGCTACAAATGAAATTTCATCCCATGAAAGGTTTTCACGCTCGACCCGAAGATTTATCAGCTTCGGTTCCCTCGTCGATCATACGGGGCTATGCTAGTGTGACGGATTCAGAAAATCGAATTTTTCTTTCTTGCAATTTGCACAAGACTCTATACAAATATTATTTAGTAAATATATATATATATATATATATTATTCAAATTGATATGTTCAATAGTTTTTCTTTAAAAAATTCTCAAAAATTACCTTATTATATAACCGTCACACTAGCATAGCCCCTTAAGAAGATGTTTATCTTCTCGGGACTCGAAAGTACTTACCACCGGCAGCTTCAATTTGCAATTCGTCTTGAAGAGGATGTAGCCCGTGATAATGCCGACGAAGTATGGACCGGCCCTCAGCCAGGGTTTATCGTACAGCTTGTCGAACAGGGCGAACGGTTCTTCGATTCTGAGGGAAGAAAAATATCAAGCTTTTCTACGGGATCATTGTCTCTCTCTCTGTGATGCAGACCAGGCAGAAAATCGAAAATTTGGTATTCGTCTGAGCCGCAACGATTATGAGATAACGGTGTCGTAAAATTGAACGAAAACCAGAAGCCCCTACTAGACTTATGAGGCACTGGAAATTGGAGCATCGACTATTCAAGAGATATATGATATACGTGTCATGAACTCTTCTTCCCCCCCCGATTAAAGGAAGAATAATGTATTCCGCGAGTGAACATGCCACGGAAAAAAAAAAGAAACAGAGGTATTTTAATATTAAACAGAGCTGAACTGGAACGTATTTGCATGCATAGAATTGACGAGTGATCGAGTTGTTTAATTACCTGGCAACGTAGTCGTTGGAATAAGCGATAGAGAAAGTGGTGAACCACGACGAAACGAGCAGGAGAAGAACGACCGTCGCAATCGTCTTAAAATATTTAATGGACAGTAGCAGCAGAAGTATCCCGAGAACGTACAATTGCGTGTCGTTCGCCATGTACCAGCTCCACCTCATACACTGGAAAGTTGTTAATCGAGTATTCTCATCGTATAGGATAATCGCGTCAAGGTTCAACGGGCTTAGACTAGGTCGAGCCTGCGAAAGTGTCGGAAAACACTCGGCTTCGGGAAAATCTATATGTATACGATCGAGGCTAGAAGTTAATGGATCGAACGTCACGCCCGGTTACGTGTCGTTCGAGCGCGTGGAAAAGTACTTTCACCCTTTCCTCGGCAGTTTCTCTCATTGTCAATGAATTCCAAAGAGCAACGAATCGACTCGGACAATCGTCCTTGATCGAACGTCCGTACGCCAAACAATCGTGAAACTGGTAATTAACCGACTCTTTTCAATCGTCGACGAAATTGATTTTAGGATAGCCTAGACGATCCGCGTTGTCGCGGTCGTTTCGGAACTTTCTCCGAGCGATGGAATTAATTATCGGAAAACGATCGAGACTCCGACACCTTCCTCGTCTGGGTGTCTTCGCCTGGACTGGTACTTCCTGTTTGAAATTTTGTCCCCGCGACTGCATAGCACTCTTTCAATTCAATCATCTTTGCTTTTCAATCGCGTACTGCATTCAGGCTCATTACTGGATTATCGATTCGTCGGCGAAGACGATTGTTTCCAGCCAATTATTTTCCAGGGAGACAACGGGGCTATTTTACGGCGTTTCGTTCGATTCTTACCATTTCGTTTTGAGAATACAACGAGTTCAGGTAGAGCGCGTTCCTCCACCAGAATTTTTCGCAAGTCAAGTGATCGATGATAGCTGGCGTGAAGACTGTCTTTGCTTGCGCGTTCTTTATGGCGATTTCATTGATTCCCAGGACAAAGAGATACGCTGGCGTCAATCTGGATGAAAGGAAATCGAAAGAAAATGTCAGTGTTCATATCCCTCTGAACGATAATGGGTGACCCTTTGTCAAAGGGCGTTCGTCCCTTTATTTGACGTTTCTATATCGTCCCGAACGGTTACGAATCGAGTTTTTTGATCGATGGTCAGCTATTCCCACTAAAAGTCGCGTTTTCCCTGTTACGGATAATACTTTGAAAGATTCGCGATAGAAGATACTGCGTAGAAGCTGATCTCTGCCTACCTGATAAATCTGTAAAGGATCATGATGACAAATTTCGTGACGCACGTTTTCGCGAAGCCGTCCTTGTCTGTTTTCATGCTTCCGGAGGATCGATAGAACAGGATTGTAACCAGCAAGCCACTGAAAGAATCGTATCCTTGCGGATTTACTTGTCCATGCGTAGAATTGATTTTGCTTCGCGTACAATTCTCGTTCATCTTTTCTTACCTGATGAAGAAGAATGTGTCCACGGAAAATGTCGCGTTGCTGATCGTTTGGAACATAAAGTTCCGCTCGGTTACCTTCCGCAGACTCTTGTTCTCTGTAAATCGTGACAGAGAAAGTAATCATCACGGGATTATCAGTGAAAGTCCTGCTCGATTCGGTGTATCGGGAGAACGGAGGCTCGATTACGGTGGATAAGGAAAACCGGTACATTTCGTTACATCACCAATACATTAACATGGTTCGCGGCGAAGGCTGTTCATAGAAAGTAGAACACTTTAATTGGATCTCAAACTGTATACATTTAATTTCGTAGTAATCCGTGGATTCGAGCGAGATTTTGAAACGGTTTTCAGCTAGATAGCCCGTATTACAACCTCGTTCGTTACTATAGAATATTTAACCGCCTCCTCGTTTCTCTTAAACATCAGAGTCTATTTTCCGCTTATTACAATTCTTACTGTTACCAAGAAAAATGTTTAAATTGTGGCAATTATTAATTTCTTTACGGTCAATTATCCCTAGAAATCGCGTTTCCCTGGGGTTCGAAATGTTGTAACAAAGTAACCGCCGCGACAAGACTACTCCAACGCTGGAGTAGTAGTACCTATCTTCGCTGTAAAACTGTCTCCAGAAAGGTGGATAACGTTACCGGCGATGGCAAAAACTTGGAGATAAGTGTGCACCATGACGACCCAGCCCAACGAGAATACTCGTAGTCCGTGCAGGCAAGTTAGATTGTTCCTAGCCGCGGGCTCTGTGCTAATGATCTTGCTTCCGTTCGCGATAGGATTAAAGGCTGTCAAACACTTTAACCAGAAACCTGAAAAGATGAGAATTACCGCGTAAAAATTCCACCATTTCGATCGACAAAAGATTCCATCGAAGTGGATAAGCCGTCAATATACTACTTTGTATTTACCGCCTCGCTGTTCTTCCTTTTTCACGTGATCAGGAAAATCTTTCTGCAGATCCTTCCCTTTCTCGATCAGCTCCTCGCCATTGTCCTGGCCCATTGATATCCTACGGTCCTGGTTCAGATTTTTGTTCGAGAAATTGCTGAGCGTTTCGTTATTGTTCGACGTGCTCGAGGATTCGAGGTCCTTCGGAGTCGGCAGAGTTCGGTATTCGTATATCGTGGCGCACAGCATCAGGAGACCTATCGTTCCTCCGACTCCTCTAAAAGAAAAAGATCGATACGATACCCTCTGAATTTTAACGAGCTTGCCGACAGTCCAACGCATCCGTTTTTCCATTGCTTGGCCAGGTTTAACGAACACAGTTTTATGCGACTACTATACATTTGGTTCAAGAGATTCTAGTAATCGCGCGTTACTACGGTCCACCATTTAAATGTATATTAAAACACATAATTCCTAGCAGCGACTACTAAATCGTTATTAAGTCATAAAGATACGAGTCAGTTTTTCCCGTCGTACGTCTTTTTTCTTGCCGCTGCTTTTTGCTCTATTTCCAGTGAAATACGAGTCGCAAAGAAATATAATTTTGCCGCGATATAATTCACTTTCATTGCTGTTGAAATAATATTTCATATTTCTTTACTGTTATTTTTTCTCGCCACGAAATCTTTCGGTGTTCAATCAATAATAATGTTCCTTTACACTCGAGGGTTTAGGAAAGGGTAACACTTAACATGGATTCCACAGTTTATCTAGTCACCGGCGCCATTGCAGTAGTCACATCGAGTATTTAATAACACTGCATGTTTTGTCGACAGTAAATCTGCGTTTAATGGTACCTGCTCATTAACGTGTACGGATTTTTGCTGTGGCGTTTCTGCAAATCTATAATTAGCGTCCCTTGCTACAACATGGAATGACTATCGAGATTAAAATTCATTTATATTTCCCACGTCGATTTGATTAATTACCATTCAGAGATGGATCGATCATTGACAAGCCTATTAATCATTCGGTTTTAACGTGGAATAAAATTCTACGAGAATCGAGTCGGAAAGCGATCAGGCTAAGAAACTTTTGCGAGAATTTTCGTTGTGCCCCGACTGATTTGCATTCTCTTATTCGCCTGCCGTTTAATCGCGACCTATGCCGAAGTTTGTCCCGATTGTTTATAAGCACTGTCCCGGTAAAAGTTTAAGTGGTCGTTTCGCGATGGCTAAGGGCCCTATACTTTTCCGCCCGCACCCTCTAACTCTAACGAGTTGCTCGCAGATAAGTGCTTCCAGGTCGAAGATCGTTTTGTCCTATCCTTCTCTATCCCTTACCGGGATCCCTCGAGGCTGCAACGACGAGACTGCAATACAAATTTTCAATTTACCCGTAAATTGCATCGTGCGACGAACGTCCTCGGAGAATATCGGTTAGGTGACGTTGAATCGTAAAGAATCCGACGGCGACGCATCTCACCGTCGAACATTAGGTTCGAACACAAGGGTTCCTAACCCGTTTATAAATAAAATATTATTATTATTACTAAAACGAACGCCCAAGCAAACTTGCAGCTACCTCGTTGATTGGAAGGTCGCGTCGAAAAGTTTTCCCTTAACGTTATTCATAAATTTAAATTACCCAACGGTGACCGGTCGTTCCGTGACTCACCCGTTCGCCGGATTATTCTGCTCCGGCTTTGTTCTTTCTATTTTCCTGTGATTAAGTTCGCAGGATTATGCGTGCATTTGCATTACAGATCGGCCGCGCACCTTTTTGCATAACGGACTGTGGATCATTCGATGATCCAGTTCGCCGATGCTGTTACGCAACGTGCGCTCTGAAACGATATCGAATCGGCGTGGATTTATCTTGCGGTATTTCTTTGGAATAACGAAATGCAATTTTCGTTGATCGATTCGATGGATCCGCCGGAAAAATCGATTTTTCTGTCGATGATCCGTGAAAAGCGATCCTTCGCTGGATCGATGCGATGGGAAACGAGGTATCGGTTGAAACCCGCATTCGAGTGGAATGAACGTGATAGTAAGAATAACCACTTTCTCGCGCCACGACGGTTTAAGGCTCTCGATCATCTTGCGTAATGCAATCGAAGTGTCCGTGCGACTGTAAACACTTCTCGACACGAGTGCCAGTGAATGTTTCAGAGAGCCGTGCATCGGAAAAGTCGAATTTCGTATTTTTAAGTCGACCTAACGGGGATCGTAAGGCTCCACGGTGAAAGCAAACATCGGGAAAACGTTTTTGGTTCTGTTTATTCGCAAGTGCAACGCCCGTTGCATAATCCACGCGAGTCGAACTGGCTCATCGGCAATTCACTGACATCGTTTCAGCGGCAAAAGGAAAAGTTGGCGCGTCGACGCCGCGCCGGTCGAGTCGATTCGTTTTGAAAATAAGCCGACGCCCGACAATGCTTCCATTGGTTGGAATAAAATTTTCAGAACCCATCTCATGGCTGAAAGCATCGTAAATAATGCAAAACGCGACTCTGGGACCAACGGGAATAATGTCTGTGACTTTCAGAGACTCCGATCGATCGTGCATCGAACCGAGCGTAATTAGATCTTAATCAGCCGGGCGCTCTGAATCGGTCGCTTAGATTGTAACTCGCCTTGGAACTTGAACACGTTTCTTTTTATCGGATAATTAATATGTATCGCGTACAAGGACGCGAAGAGGTGTAAAGTTCTGCTTCTATTTGACCGCGCGATGTATGAACGTTGACGTGATTCACAGTTGGGGGAAAGTTTGAAATTAGAAGCAAATGTTCTCGCAACTATGTGCATACCTACGACTGGACGTTATTCTCGCGGCGAAAGCTCGACGATGATGAATCGGCGGGATTAAGATCGATCTTTCGGTACTTTTAAAAAGACCGAAGCTCTATATCGCTTTGCATAGCTTATCCTCATGCGGAGAGGAACGTTCCGAGGTTCTTGGCAGGCAGCGGGGGTAGTTCTCGAGAATTCTATTAAAGTTCACCGCATCTTGAGCAGAGCTTCGTACGAATTTTCGATAAAGTACCACCACGGTAAAGTCACCACGGTGCTGGGCGTCGAGACATCCTTTTACGCTTAATCCGACTATCGTGGAATCGATAATTTAATCGGTCGAAAAAAAAAAAATAAGGACAACCATTTGTTATTCTTGACCTCTGTACGATCGATTTGAACTTGATACCACCGTCAGCGAGTGGTTACATTATTAATATCTGCACTCGACCGGTCAACGTGTTTCGAACATATATGTACGTATAACATACGCGTACGTACAGTATATTTCTCGGCACATTCTGATTACCAAACTCTCGCTTTCTCCCGCTTTTTCTTCGTGTGACGCAACGTTATTTATTACGTTTTAATTATACAGATACAATTATACCTAACCCAGACTTTTTTGAGAATTTCTTTTCTGGAACGAATACGAGACGCTTGGCGATAGTTAAGCATCCCTTTCGTGCACAGACTCCTGAATTAACTTATAGCAGCAGATTACGATGAGTTGCGGTCGTATTGCACAATCCATCCCGGAGTGATGTTTGCAAAAACCGAGTTGTGTAATTAGACCGGGGATCTGCGTCTAGGAATATTTTTTTTTCCGATAAAGATTTGACGCAACACTCGTTGCGCTGCGCTTCGATGTAACCGTGATACGAGTTGCATAATATCGCTGTCGGGCGTGCTCGATCGAATAAATCGTTCCTTTCCTACAATTTGTCGAGAGTGGAACGAGAGGGTTAATAACGCGTCGCGGCAGCTTTACTCCTGAGAAATTATTAAATCAAAGGGTACGCGTTCAAAGCGCTGTTGCAGGTGGCAAATTACTTTTCTATTGCGCACGGAAGATACCGACGTCTGAAACCGGCTTCCAGTAGCCGGTTGCGCAAGGATAGCGATCTAGCCAAGGAAGAAAGTTGCAGAAAGTGTGTTACTATTAATTACATTCCAACGTTAACGATCCTCGATGGAACTTATTAACAGAGATGGAAAGGACGGAGTATGTATACCTCGATTAATATCACGTTCCTCCATGCGCAGCGAGGCGAACTGAAAACGCGTAACGTCAACGTGTAATTAAAAAAACGTTGCAGCAAGCTCGACGACTCTTAAAACCACTCGGAAAGAGAAAAATTCAGCGAAGTGCGCGTCACACGAGTAGGTACGCTCTTGCATCTTGCCTTTCTCTCGTGTGCCGTTTTCCTTAAGAACATAATCGCTTTCGTTTAAATCGCTCGCAAGCGTGTCGCGACACGGAACATCCAGGAAGAGTGTTGAAAAATCACTTTGCGAATTAAGGGGGACATCGAGGATCGATTGCTGCCGGGCGAACGATCGTGGAAAGTAGTTTCCTCCGATGAAAGGGGAGCAATGGCTCTTGAATTTCGACGTACACCCGATAGAAAACATTTTTCTTGTGTAAACCAGTAGAGCAGAAATTACAACATATTTCTGCAACTTGTTAACTAACTGGCTCTACCCGCGAATCTTAGCTCGAAATTATATAGACGTGTGTACGAGCTGGGCCGTACTTATTTAGCAAAGTGAACGTAACTATTGCGCAAATTCCGGTCACGTAACTTAAGGTGCCGGGCAAAAACCGTATTGTCGAATGACAGTGTATAAGATTTAGTCCCGTGACTACCTGAACCAGCGTCACACACGGAACCGTTTAGCATAATTTTTATGTAACTCGACGGGTGCGACTATTGACAGGTGGACGTCTTGCACGCGAGATTCTGCCCGAAAATATCGGTCGATCAAAGGATTCGCTTGACGCGATGTAACGGATCGCAGAATTAACGTCTGTCTGCGGTCCTTACGAACTTCCGAAGAAACTTCTTTTCATCATCCGACGGAGGACATCGTGTAAGATTTTTTTGCTCGTGGGTCGAAGGACGGGATAACCTTCAGGTACCTACATATATAGAGGGTATAAACGACCTATAAAGTTTTCACGACTCACAGACGAAGTAGTCATTTTAACGATCGGACAAAGACACGCGAGCAAAGCAAAGTTGTGTTGACCACGTAGCTACGATAACAGCAGCGTTTGTACTTTGGCGGACGATGGTAGGACGACTATCGAGCGAACGGACGATTTTCGAAGTTGGGTCCATTAGCAGCCGTGGCACGATGAAAAATTCGGTTTGCGTGGCTGGTTCACGAGCAGCCGCAGGGGGCTGGAAAAACTTTTTGCATTACTTACAGGAGGATGTACAGTTTGGGATCGAGCCAGGGATCGTAATTGCTGGAAGGCACAGGTTTCACATCGGCGATGTGAATCTTCGGGCCGCTCGATCGATAGGTCGAATTGCCCTCCCATTCGACCCGATCCGCGCTGGCTCGTAGCATCGAGGTCAGGGATGCCCGATCGCATGTGGCCGGCAAACAGAGCCCCAAAAATAGTTGCGTCGTCTGCGAACAAAATTCGATCATTCGAAATCACCGGAGAAACCTTAGCTGAACGGGATTTAGCATTCTCTGGCTGAATCTCGAGAAACGAGTGACATCCGTGGGTGCAGTAGCCCCCCCCCCCCCTGCTCGGAACAAAGTGGGATTTGCACTACTCTAGAAGAAAAAACAAATTCGATTTTCCTCCCACCCCATAGAATAAAAATATTGGATTTTGCCCTCATCCCTCCCAGAAGAAAAAAACTATATTGCACCCCCTCCCTTTCGACTGATAACCTGGCTACGCCCACGATATGACATCCTCTACTCGAATTCAAGACGACACATATTCGGAAACGAAACAAGCCGAGTCGAGAAAATTTAGTTTCAATGTTAATTGGATGTTCAGTGTTACTAGAGATGTTACTTTGTCAAAATCAATTTTCCATCAAGGTTTCCGACCGTTCTCCCTTTCGTTGCGTGGACAATTTCTACTATTTCTTCGCGTATACCACGCCCACGCCATCGTTACGGATGTCGCGTGACGTGGTTTCAAACTCGCCGGACATAAGCTGGATTCCCGCGCGATAATCTTCGTCGGATCAAAGGATTCCTGTTCGTCCGTGAAAAGTGCAGAACCTGGCTAGTCCATCGCGTCGTATCCCGTGGGTTTCAGGAGATTTAGAAGCAACAAGGATTGATTTTATTCCATACCGCGAACAACGTTAATTCCTATTCCTGCCTTTGTACGATTTTCTCATTGCTTTGAATTTTCTGTAAAGTAAGTCGAACTGGTATTACCGTTCTCAAGATCGCTCAGCTATTTTGCATAAACGAACTGCGAATCGAATAATCGCGAAATATAAAACGTTGCAGAAATCATAATCCAATTAGTCAAGAAGTATTCTTCGACATCGCCTTAACGTCGACATACATATGCATATTCGTTATTTTCGTCTGTTTAGTAGAAAGACGAACGTTATCGTGGTGTATGCACCTGACGATATGTACACACCTATATCACCGCGTCAGATTAATTGTCCCCGACTAATTCGGTCCATGGGGAAAAACGATCCGTCACGTGTTTCGCCAGGTTGTGTAACTCAGAGTCTCCCGTTCAATTAATCCACGTAATAATTCATCCGACGTTACAGTGTTCATTGTGCATTCATTCGACTTCGGAAAGCCGATTGACGCGTGTGCTTCAGTTGAACGCAATAACGCAAATCGGTTGCGTTCAAGAAAATTTTCGATTTCTGGAAGAGCCTTGGCAAGGAACCGGGATGAAGATACTTACCGAAAGTTCGAACTCCTTCGGTAGAATGAGGTTCATCCTGGCTACGTGGAATTTCAGTGGATAAGGCGGTCTGTCGTGGCTTTCCGATCGGTCTTTTCCATCGTTGGCGTTCAGCTCCCGACAAAGGGTGCTCGAACCAAGCCAGAAGCCGTTACCAAAATGGAATTGCGAGGAGTAACGGCCGCTCGCGTCCGACACTGCAAAAAAGAGTCAGACCCTGAAGAATTGACCGCGACAAGAAAGCGTTCTCGCGGAACCAGAGTGATAAGGACGCCTTTTTATAGTACACATTAATCTGTGCTAGTATATCGCCAGGTGTACGCCTACGAGCGAAAAGATGGCCAGCGATACCTAACGACCAAACAATCGTTGGAAGTCTTTAGCGTCCGAGGGAACGGAAAATTTTCTGACAACCATCCACTACGTTCGAGGAACCATGAACCATCTAACAGTCGTTTGCTGTTTTGTTTTCCAACTTTCACGAGAGCTGTTTCCTCGACGTTGTTCAATCTTCCTTTTTTACCGTTGTTCCCTTCGTGTTCCGCAACGATCTCGGAGGATTGGTTGCGCGTCGCGTCTGGAAGCTCTTCGGCCCTCGTACGCAGTTACGTAAAATATCGGGAGGCGTTCGCGAGACCGGAGAAAGTGGGGTCGATCGACGACGAGCAAACATTGGGCTGCGATTTCTTCGACGTAATTTTACGCGAATTCCCGATCATCGAAATTATATCGCCTCGATGAATGAAATCGAGCAACTGGAACACGACCGTTTGATCGCCTTTCACGCATAAGAGTTACGTTTTACTCGCGACACGGTCTATAATCGACTCGCGTGGCTTAATCTTGTAACCGGTAACCTGTAACGAGTAAACTAACGTCACGTGAAGCGCAGCTCGTTCGTTCGGTTGGGCTTGACGCGTCAAATAAACGACCTGATAATGGTCTGCCCGATGCCGATGGTGTAACACCTTGCGCGCATCTAATACCGCCTCGTACCGTCGAAAGGGTAATTTCACAGGAATTTACATTCCCTCGAACCTAGGATCGAAAGATGTTTCTCCAGTCGATTGGTAATTTCGCCGGGATGACTATCGTCGAATGATTTTCAACGGGACCAGAATACACATCTTCGAATACGCATTCTGTTATTTCCGAGCGCGTGCTCCTTATCGTTGCAATGCTCGTCTCTCTGGTGAAACAGCTGTTGCTCCAATTCCATTCACGCAGCCAGTTTCAGTTTTCAACGTTCGCGGTAAACGCGTGCAACGCGACGACAAAGCCATAGAAAATTTATATTGTGAACCGCGCATTGATTCTGCCGACATGGGATCACTGACAAAGGCCGATATGTTTGCCAACTTTTGGCCAATATTCGTTGCAACGCTGTTAAATACAAAACGGCGACGCGGAAGCTGGACGGGCAGCTTCGTACATTGCATCGAAATGGTTGCTGTCCGCGCCAGAAAATCCAACAGCCTGTGTCCGACGGCTTTGCCGCTTTATCTCGTAAATAAATGGAAAATATACTTGTCTGCTCCCTTCACATGATCTGTAACGAAAAATTGACTCGTTCGTCGGAGCAAACGTTGCATGCTCCTCGAGAGTGAACAGACGGGAGGAAACGTTTATACAGTGAGAGTAAAAAGTGAGTAAACCACTTTGGAACTATAGCATTCATATTTATTTTTCTTCCCTGTGTGTGATGAACTTTACACTGTCTTCAAACTATGAACTTAACACGTGGACTGCCACAGTGGAAAAGGCAGTACGTAGCCAGACACCCTTTATTTCGTTTTTTAAGTCATAAATCTTTGAAAATATATGCGTTTCATTAATAGAGATTCCTTGTCGTGTTTTAAATTATACTTGTGATATTAATCTTATGTCAAAATTTTGTAGAGGTATTTAAATAATCCAGCATGTTTGCAATGTTTCGACTACGAGTTATCTCGTAGCTGGCAGTGAACGTGTTAATATCGTTTTTAGATCATTATGTATCTATATTGAAAACTAGACGATTTAAAACGAAATAAGTTTTATCGTCGGAAAGGATACTTGACACACTCTGGCTCTGGATTTAGGATCGAGAAGTCGCTCGTTACAACGGGCTAGCCAGCCGCGAATCGGTTAATGTCGCGTGCGGTTTGCCCGCGAATTTGCACGCTCCCGCTTACGCCGTCGTCGATAATCCGCTTGTCTGGTTGTCGTCGGAAATCACCGTAAATCTGGAAAACAGTGAAAGCCGATTTGGCCCCGCGCTGTAACCGCAGCCTCGATCGATGTCCAGCGTGTCCCCTCCGCGCCTTTCTCGCCGCGGACAGAGCTCTCCCGTAGCTGCCCGTTGAAATTTCGGCTCTGATTTGCGCCCAGCTCGACTAATTTATGGCCAGAGTTTCGTGAGGTTCTAGTTAGGATTTTGTCGCCGAGCTTTCGACGAACCGCGACACGCGGACCCAACCAGAGCTGACCGAAGCGTGATCTATGCCGAGGCCTTTGACGTTCGGTGCCGTTGCGGGGGTGGTTTGAACGAACTTTGGGGCTCCTTTGACCCTCCATGATCACCGCGTAATTAATTAATGCGGCGTGATCTACCAGCTCGTTATAAAAATATCATCGAGCGTGAAAGTGCGATTATACATATATCGAACAACAAATAAATGGCCCCAATGGTGTGCTTCGTTGAAAAGAAATCTGCAAATCGTGACTTCATGGTTGCATAGGTATTTTTATCTCTGTGATACGGAACTGCGATCACCCTGATAAGTTTGCGTTAGGAAACGAACAGCGTTCGATATTCGCACAAACACGCTGGTAAATTAAATTATATAAAGTATTGGAGGTTGCGCGATATAGAAAGCGTTTCCATCTATAGTGGGCTTTGAATTATTCCGAGGTTAATGCCACCGTTAGTGAAACCGTGGGTGGCATTCGATTCGATCTAGGTTTGGTCGCTGTTCGGACTTCTGAAAACTTACATGTTACTCGAGTCGTTGAAGTAACCAGTATGTATCCTCGCGAGCAATTATGAAATTTATGAGAAATAAAACCTCCTTCCTCTTACGCCAATTTTTCCCCTAGCGGAAATTGAGTTCGCACGTCAGTGTTATACACGTACGTACATACTAGGTTCCTCTAATCGTCGATTTCGGTTTCGAAACACGTCACGAGCGGGAAAGTTTACGGCCCTGAGGCGTTGGTTAACCTCCATTATGATTTACCGTAATAACTTCGCATCCTTAGCGCCGAGACCTAAATTTCGCGACGACTCGCGTTAAAGCAGCGTAATAACCGGCTCCGTGCAACCGCGCATTTTCCATTGTCCGAGGAAAGAATGCTAGGATCGCTTTTGCTTTCGTCGAATTCGTTTTAATTGCATTCCCCGGCGATAAATCGTTCCGGAACAAACGAAAGGAGAGCAACAACGTGACCGACACGGGGTAACCATTACGAAGCGGTAAATTATAGTTTCGCAAAGTAACGACGTATTTGGCAATCGAGTCAACCAGCGAGCGAGCGCGCAACCAGGCACTTGGAGAGCCTAGCGAAGCATGAATTTCTCGGGGCGGTGCACGGCAACATGTTCGCCACTGGGCCGATAAAAGGATTAATATGTACATATACGAAGCAAGCGAGTTGTCAATCGTGAAACACGTGCCACGTTACCATTAGTGTCGCCATTAATCTCGTAACCATAGGTTTCGCAGACAGAAGCGTGTGCTGTTTAGCAATGCCAGAATTTCCCGATTATTTTCCGATGTCGTGCACGGAAGGTGTTCGCTTTACTCACTTTTAGCGGCCCACAGTTTCCCATCGTTGAGGGACTTCAAGAAAACTTCCAAGTCTCTCTTGCAATTGCCCTCGACTTTTCCAGGCACTCTTGCCCACTTCAGAGGATCGTAAAGATCCGCCAACCATTGGATACTGTTCGCCGTCCTCTGGATCTTCTCCTTCATGAAATCAACGTCGAGATTTTCGCGTTGCTCCTGCTTGTCCTCCGACAAATTCAGCTGGCTCTTCCAGTCGAGTCCGGCATTGTTTTTGCTGAATCCAATTAAGCGACCCTGCTCTTTCGGCGTCTCGGTTTCGTTCCCATGATCGGTCCCGTTCGAATTACGCGTTTCGTCCGTGATCGATGATCTGTTCCGTGGCTTTCCGAGCCTCAGGATGTTCGACTCGTTTTTAGAGATGGTCGTGTGAACGATGCAGCATATCGCCAACAATAGATACGTCAAGGAGGCGGCCATGTTCGAAGGTTTAATCAATTCGGTGCCGTCCCTTCGTTTTATCGTTGATACGCTCCACAGAGAATCGGTGACCGACTTCTTCTCCCAACACGACTCGCGAACACTTCATCGGTTTTCCTCGATCAAATTTCCGGATGTCATTCTGAGTTACAACATCGGCCGATGTTCGCCTGCGGGACGGGTAATTTTAGTTCTCCAGTTACTCAGTTGTCCAGATTGCCGAGATTGTCGAACATTCTTGAACGAAGCGCGTCCGATCGCTGACACGAGCCCAACAACGGTGTGCCCGGCTGTTTACGACTCTGGAATGAGGCACACTTTCCTTTTTCACTAGCCGCTCGTGCGATCGTATTGCCGGTGCGAATGGTTGCCAATTTATATTTCTGTCGAAACGATCGCAACCGATTTTATGTCGTACACTTGTCCGATCCTTTTTATCGGCGGCTATGAAACGAATCACGGAACAGAATGACCGAATTGCCCGACCACCCGACAACAACTAGACGATTCAAACGAACCTCGATCACTGTACGATTCTCGGATATGGTCAAGTTCACGCGCCAACGATCGTGATCACGAACTGTCGAATTGCTCCCGAGTGGAGGACAAAGGTGGTCGCACACACGAGACTAAGGACCACGCACTGAATGAAGCGAATCAAGTTAGCAGTCGCGTTCACCGGTGGACAGCGGTCCCCCTTTCTCTCGGCGATGCACTTTGCCACGGTAAATATATTTCCTTCTTCGGCCCCCGTACGCTGTCGCCGCTTGTCTCCTTCGAGCGAAACTCTCCATAAATTCCACGACGATCTTGGCCCGGAGACTTCTCTACTTATTCGGCAAAATTTCCTCCTTCGTTTTTCACTCTTTATCCTCGATCGATAATTCGTGCTTACGTCTGCCTCTATCAAATCAATTCACCGTGACCATAGCATGCCTACGTACATGCGTAACCGTCCTTTAGATTCTCGTTTTAGGGATCGTAATCACTCCTTTTTGTAATTACTGTAATCCCAATGGACCTTCGGTAAATCGTGCCTGCATCTTGCGAGAATGATTACAGCGTTCCTCGGTACGGATGTTAAACGAGGATGGTAACGTAATATATGATACACGGTACGCCGCGCTGTGGTAGTTTTTACGCCATAATTCGTAGATTCCGCGTACCTATAAATGCTAATATACTTTTTCCTTCGTTAACAATGTTTGCGGAAAGCCTCGAGCATTAAGCTGAATTATTGCTCGGGTTACGAGCTATCCAGAGGAGCTCGTTCCTACCTCGTTGCGATGTGTACTTATAGCACCGTTTTATCCCTGTGGATGTCTGCAGTATCTTTGGCGAAATACTGATTCGAATGCACTCCAGAATCTCTTCAGACATACATGTATCAGGGTGTTCCGTAATTGGTGGTACAACTGGGTAGATGGTGATTCTACGTGAAAAAATAAGTCGAGAATATAAAATAACATTTTTTCATTCGAGACTGACGATTTATTTGTAATGCGTGTATTCATAGCAGTAAGTAGAAACAGAATGCAATGAACAGACGCGTTAGCCAAGCCTAAATTTTAAATAAAAAAATGTTATTTTATATTTTCGACTTATTTCTTCACATGGAATCGCTCTCTACCCGGTTGTACCATCAGTTACGGGACACCCAGTAGGTGTACATTTGTATGTATGCATACATTTGTCGTAAATTCTATCCGGTCTTGAGTTTCCAATAATAACAAAGGAAGTGAAGTACAGAGAAACACATTGTTGCACAAGTTCGCTGGTTGTAAGACATCGATCTTGTGTTAGAAAAAACCGTGTTCAAGCCTTTCCTATCCTTTGTTCTATGGTTTCTGGAACAACGTTCCGATGACTCGGACGTTGCTGCGTTTTCAATGCAATAGCACATTGACACGAGGTTATATGCAACAAGAGAACAAAGAACAAATATTTTCATCGGAAAATCGCGATGAGAAGAGGGAGCTGAACGTTTCACGATTAACAATTTTTCCTCAGTTCGCAGTGGTTTTTTCTTTCCGGTGCATTCCGCCGTAAAACGCACAGTGACATTTTACAGCTCGGTTTTCATGGGATAAACAATGTACCGGCAGCGAATATACGTAAAAGGTCGCAAATCCTGGAAACGATGGAGGCGAATTCAGCCCTCGTGTTTCGAGGGTGTAATCGACAAATCTGGCAGCCCTCTGTTTCGCCTCGTATGTCCCGTAAAACGCTTGAATTAAGGTGAACAGAAAAGTTCATCGATTTTTCTCCCGTCACAAATAAGTGACTGGACCATTTTATCGTGGATTTCCACCTTTTCCACTATTTTTCTTCTCCGAAGAAGAACATCGTGCCAAATGGACGGTTGTTGGGTTTAGTCTTCCCAGTGAAATCTTCCGTTTCTTCCTCGGTTTCTCTGGATCCAAGGAGTGTATTCGCTTAAATATTTTCGTGAAGAAACGTATGGCAACGCGTTACAGACGCTCACGGTGGATTGCGAAATATGTGCTTTCGATTGAAAATTTCACAATGGGGTTTCAATATCGTCGATGGTTCTGATGACAGTTCATACAGCTAGCATCGTTGCTATTCCGCAAACGTTAAAGATCGAGCAGTTCTCTTATTGCTTGTTCCTTCGTTGACGTCAGCCGGATCATTGGAATGCGTCTCTCTCGTATTTTCTCTTTTATTCGATGTTTATATAACTGTTCGATACGAGCCACTTTCGTCCTCTCACTTCGTGTTACGTGCGTAACGACAGGTCCAAAAATTTCTCCAAATTTCTCGGCTTGTTCCTCCTTCGTTCCCGTTTCCTACGTCGTCGGCGTCGCGTCGATTGGCGCTCCGCCGCGCCACGGAAACGGCTTCTGCAAGAGATCCGGTTGTTCGTTACGCAACCAAGCTTTCTACGTGGTCAACTGTACACACGAGTACATACACGCAACGTTACAACCGGTCTTTGCTCGAGAAGCAGAGACTGGACCTCGAAGGCACCGTTTTATTGACTTCGAAACGTCGAGAAACCAATTTACCCTCGATCTGAGTTAACGTCACCGACATCCAAACGCTAGTTCCTGGTAATTACTTCTTTAATACACGACCACGGTGGATGATAGTTTGAGACGGGACTCTTTATAAATGGTCCTTCAAAAAGAGCAGATTAACTAACATTTATGTTCGTACAATAAAATCCCAGTGAAATCACAGACGAGATACATGAATAGACCTAACATGCAATGTAATTTTCTGTCCCATGCATCGAGGGCGTCACAAGCCCCCTTACCATTTTAATGTCAATACCCGACGTTACCGATGAAGCATGAATTCTGAGTATTATTAGCACAAATGAATTATTATATATTCCATTCGTATTGCGTGTATCTATATGATTTGACGGGAATAAAAATGTTGCGATATTTTATAAGCCTGAACAATATCTAAGCCTACTTTTTCTTTCGTTCTTGTAGACGAAAATCAATGTCAAGGACAATAACAATCATTTTCGTGGGACACCGAGTCCCATAAGATGTTAGGTCTATTCTTATATCTCGTCTGTGATCAAATGCAATATGTAGTTGTGAAGCACTGTGTCGATAATAGAGAAAGGGAATCAAAACAAAATATATAAATGGAAGAACTAACTTTGAGTGATAGACATAGCTTCGGCTGGATAAAGCGCCATTTCTCCAGAACGCTATTTTATTTAGGCAGGACTGACATTGAAAACGATGGGATTAGAAGAGCTTCAATCGCTTGTTAAAATAGATGGAACTCGGATAACCTTTAGAGCTTTATCTACTTCAGTAAATTCTTGAAATATTATAAATTCTAGAAGTCATCTAGTTCTAGAAATCATCGTCTGATGACGCCACAGTATCGATATTGCAGGTTTCCCGCGCTTGTTGACGTTCTGCGTTTAGTTCCGCCAGCCGACACCAGATGGTTACCATAATTTTTCACATACAATCCCGATTTCGCAGTTTTCCCGCGCTTGTTGATAAAGCTCCGGTATCTATTATTTTATTAGTGTTATTTATTGTTTTTTTGTTATCTTTTGGACAAAATGAAGTTATGAATAATAGTGAAGGTAGTGCTAGGAGTAATGAATAACCTGTAAGTACAATTTAAGTATTTTTTGTGGAAAAGGTCGTAAGGAAATGTACAATTTACAGCTATATTTTTATTAATTTACTAACAGTTGCCTTACATACTACTTATATATACGATTTTACAATATGCATGCTTATAATAGTACTTGTATAAAGTCAATATTAAAGTAGGCTTAAATACTATTGGCATACAAGATTTTACAATATACTTGTAATAGTATTTGTATAGATTTAATAAAAGTAGGGTTAAACATTAGTTAGACTGATAAAGTGGGGTGATTTTGTTCATCGCATATAATTCTCTCATCTGTAACTTGCAAATTTTCCATACGATCTTTGCAGCTTCATAAAATTTTCGTAAGTTTGCCACTGATATTTCCATTTCTGGACCAATCTACTAAGGCACTCACAGTGCTAAACATTCTTGCAAAACTTTCAATTTCATATCGTTCCTCAAAATATAGAACATGCTTTTATGATATAAACTCAAGCCGTTACTCTCGATCTACGATATATTACAATTATTATATATTAACAAATGTAGGTATTCACATTACGAAATACTTTTCATTTCTTCAATCGGCAATAAATTTACTGGTCTATTTACAGTCTAATAATATTAATATTTATTCGCCCAATTAGATTCAATATCTATTGCTTCACGTATCAGTGTATAGTCGTCTATAGCTAAATCGAGTTAAAGAATTTATTTATATTAATTTGATGTATGAATTCTAAATATAGTTGGTTCCGTCCTCTTATATAAATTTTGGATAGAGATCTTTCAAGTCAGGATGGCCGAGCGGTCTAAGGCGCTGCGTTCAGGTCGCAGTCCACTCTGTGGGCGTGGGTTCGAATCCCACTTCTGACAAAATCCTTTTTTTTTGCAATTTA